AAGAGGCCACAACCACACACCCAGCACTAGGCCCACTGCCAGGGAGAAGGGCTCGCTAGAAGCCCAAACCTCACCTGCAATCCTCACAGGTACCCACAGCTCAACTCAACTCAACAAAACAAAGCAAAACAAAACAGACTAAAAAGATGTGCCGAGAAGGCGACAGGCAGGCAGGGGAGGTGTCCCAACCAGGAAAGTGACTTCAGCTTCTGGCGTTTCTGTTTCCTCGTGTGTAACTTAAGCCACGACACCACCTCCAAGGCTTTTGCAAGGATTAGATAAAGGTGCGTGTGCACAGCTCGGAGTAGGAGCACACGGGAAACAACCACCACTGCAGTCATCGTCGCCATCACCATGATCACTCCAGGCCCTCCGGCTGTGCGCACTCCTCATGTGACCACTGCGTGAAAAGCACTTGGACGTGCAAAGCGAGCACAGTGAGAAAATGCCTCCTGGGAACCCACTCAGAAGGGACGTCCTTCCCTCCATCAACGCCACACGCGAAGGCCAGAGCTGTTCGGTATTCCATTTAATAAATGTATTAATGCTTTTTAGCATTAAGTTTATATACGCTCATTAGAGAAGTGAAAATACAGTCACACAAAAATCAGACACTTCTGGTCACCTTATTACCCAGAGTTAGGTCTTGCTATAGATTAAAAGGTTCTCAAGCTAGGGGTGGAGACTCCCCACCTGTCATCCCAGCACTTTGGGAGGCTGAGGTAGGAGGATGGCTTGAGTCCAGGAGTTCAAGACCAGCCTGGGCCACATGGCAAGACCTCGTCAAAAAATAAAAGTTAGCCATGAGTGGTGGTGTGTGTCTGTAGTTCCAGCTACTTGAGAGGCTGAGGAGGGAGGATCACCTGAACCCAGGAGGAGGAGGTTGAGGCTACGGTGAGCCGTAATTGTGCCACTGCACTCCAGCCTTGGTGACGGTGAAATCCCGACTCACAAGAGAAAAAAAAAGTGAAGTCTAGGTTCATCAGCATCTACGGCAACTTAAAATACTGAACTATGCTTGTATTAATCCCAGCAGGGGTAGGTTATGGAGTAGAAGGTGCAATTACCTGTCCATACTTAACAGGAACTCAGGGGCATTCCATGACCCCAAGCCCCGGACTCCCTAGCCCCGGACCTCTGGGCTCTTCCGCAGTCAGGGGCCTTGAGGGAAAGGCCTGAGGTCACTGTCTGGGAAATGGGCTCCCTGAGGCTGGCAGACCCGCCTGCTGGGATCTACCTGATGACCTTTCAAGAGAGTGAACGCAGTTCCCAGAATGGCCCCTTTGCAATGCATGGGACATCCTGAACTGAATGTCCTAGTCTGCAGGGACTTCAGGGGACTGCTTAATTCAAGCCCCGTTCCACAGACAGGGCAGTCGTGGCTGGATGATTGAGTGATTACTTGACATCACGCAGAGGAGGGACCCCCGGCTCCTGTCCCAGCAGGCCTGTCGCCCTCCGCTACCTCTGGGTGAGGTTATGGCCTTCACGCATGAGGCCTGCCCACCTCCGGGTCGCCCTGACACCCTGTGGCCGCTTTATGCCAGACATGCCCCGGTGGGACACTCGTGGCACAGGGGACCCCGGGCTGTAGCCGCCCACCCCCGAGGTGTGCTCCGTGGTCACATGGTGGAGATGCTGTGACAGGAATGCCTAGCTGTGCCACCTGTAGGGTTGAGGCTGCTTCTTGGCCACGCCTCCGACTCCTGGCCATCGTGCGGACTCAGTCATGTGTGGTCCAGCCTGGGCATGTGAGATGGTTTGTGTTTTGGAAAACAGCCCAAAGAACCGCAGGGGCCTGTTCCACCTGCAGCCACCGTGAAGTTAAGACCTGGGGCGGGTTTTCCGCGTGGAGAAGGAATGGCTGCCGAAATTTCTTGTAAGTACCACCGTGACCTTTGTGCTGGGTATGATACATTGTAACTGTCCAAAGCCTTTGCTCTGGTGTATCTTCCAGCTGAAGAACTCCACAACTAGGACTCAATCTAAGGATAAATTCATGACCCAGTGCAGAGCTCTGATCACAGGGACACTTGCTGTGGCTTTGTACGGCAAGATACTGGAAACCAGCTCAAATAGCGGACTGTGAAACGTGCCAAGTCTGAAAACTCCGAGTACTGGAGAGCTATGAAGTCATCACAGAACGCCGTGCCAAGCTGTGAGATGCGATTGGTAACTTAAAATTATGCTTGTATTAATCCCAGCAGGAGTAGAAGGTGCAATTACCTTTCCATACTTAACAGGAACTCAGGGGCATTCCATACCCCCAAGCTCCGAGCCCCTGCTGGCCCCAGCCTGGGGTGGGACTGTCGGGGGTCTCCCTGGGGAAGGCGGGTGAGGACACCTCATCTGGGGCCCTGCCCCATCTGCCCATGGCTCCTGGCGTTTCCCTACTGCATGGGGTCCCTGTGCCTGAGGACTCAAGTGGACTCTCTGCCCATCTGCCCAGGCCACCTCTAAGCACCCCATCCTCCCAGGCTCCACGTGGCTGCTCCGCCTCCCACATCCACAGATGGAAATAGGCTGCACCCACCCTGGCTGCCTCTCCCCACACTCATCGGCCTGTTCATCGACTTGTCCAGGACTGGGCAGCTCTGAGCCATTTCCACCTCGGCTGGTACAAGGCTCTGGGCACCCCCTGAGCTTCATGACCATGACCTGTGATGAACACCTCCATTCAGTTTCCCACGGGCGGGCTCTGAGGTCACGTGGAAGGCCTGTCCCTACCACGCTCCCTCTAGTGTGGACAGGCTGCAAGGCCGCACGCACGTTGCCGGAACTCCCTGAGCCTTGGTGCCTCCTCTGGGCAACGGGAGGCCTGAGTGCAGTCTAGTGTCTCCTGCCTCCTGGCCTCGGCCCCGGGAGACCTGCTCCAGGCTTCATACCTCTCCAGTACACGGAGTTTCCAGACTTGGCACGTTTCACAGTCTCTAGGGGTCTGCTGTCCACCCAATGCCTGCTCCTCCCCACGGCATGCAAGCAGCGGCCAGTTTGTACTTTTGCTTAATAGACAGGCATCGGTTTCAGCCTGGACTCAGCCCTGTGTTGGGAGCGGCAGATCCCACAATGAATAAGGCAGCGACTCAGCCCTTCAGGGCTCCCAGGCCACGGGAGGGGACAGACAACAGCAACAAC